GTCTTCTTTTTGTCTCTATCTTTATATCTGTTTGACTCTATGCTCCAAAAGCTTTCTCGTAACTATAACTTCTGGCAAGTTTCGCCACTTGTCAAGCTTTTCCTCGACAAATTTCCTTTTTTTAAACTAGCATGAACAAGGACTCGGACTTTTCTGGGAAATACGACACCCCAATAACCTTAAGATTAAAATTAAGTGAGTTTAAAAAGTTTTCGAAACAATTAAAATGCATTACCTGATAACTGAGACACTTGCGGGCATGTCAAACTTCGGTGAAATAATGGTCAAGAAGGTATCTTCTAGAGACATCTTCGTGCAATTAGTAGCCGTCCTGCACAAGTTGTATCATGTCGAGGGCCCTTGATTTAGCATTCAGCGGAGCACAATAATGAAAATGCGAAACTGACTCTACAGAGTTTCATGCCCCGGTCCTCACCGTTCTATTCAATTTTTAGAGAAGGGTATTTTTTTTATTTTTGTTAGCTGTAATTTCTAAATTATTCTGGTAGGATTTCGCCTGAAAATGTGCCCATTTCAATGCTCCCGACTGAGGTCATCGTGGTAAAATTAATAACTATGTTTTTACTCTTATGTCTTTTGATACGTATATGAATGGAAATATTACATATCATGCGGAGTTATTGAGAAGCCAAAACAGCGTCGGTTTTCTGCTTAAAACTGATTCAAAGGAAGATTAAGGTGATAATAATGCAAATTGATTAAACACTCTTCAAATCCAGGATTCACGAAGGGTTAAACTTAAACTCAAATTATGTGAGAAATGTCATGTATCTTTTCGTTGAACCGATAGGAACCTATAGTTTTCAGACGTGATACTCTGCATAATAGGCAGAGTCTTGTGGCGATTGTATTGAAGAAAAGCAATTTATTCAGCGAACAAGTATTAAAGCGGCTATGTAATTTAAATCTTAAATTATTTGTTCTTTAAAACACGACAGGAGCAAGCACGTCAGCAATTATTGCCGTTCATAATATATTTCATCTCGTCATTTTATCCTAGTTATGATTTTGGATCATATCCTTTGTTATCGCTTTTGATTTACCAAGGTAGTCTGCGTTCAGGAGGCAAGTTTAAACAATCTCATCGCAGAAGGGAAACGCACTTTTATTTTAGAATTCCCAAATTTCAGCTGTCAAGTTAGCAGCTGCAAATTCGAGATCGCTAAAGTCTTTATAAATACAATAAAAATCCTATCAATCAAGTTGACACATGCAACTTCAAAATGATTTCCTCGGGTCATTTCCACGTTTCATTTGCATGTGCAATGTATTTTCGTAGAGCTATCTCAAAACATTTCAAATGCAGTTTACATCATCTCCCTTTTTCATTGTTGAATTTGTATCTCCACATGCAGTCGGATTTTAGATGTAACCTTTATGAATGGGAGCCGTGAATATTAATTGGACATGGTATAAAGAGTATTCGTTATTGTCCCAAACGCTTTGAAAGATAGATAAATTCAGGTGGCTTTTATTCGCAGTTGAACTTTCGTCAAGCAGGTACTAGAAAACGTACGTTTTAGTGTAACGTTTTTGTTAGGCTTCGTTCACAAAGGGTTAACAAGTTTTCGTTCGTCGTTCATCAGAAGCATCTCTACGGTGTAAATGGCTCATAAGGTTAGTATCGCGTCATCGAAGAAGGAAATTGTTGGCGGAAAGCGATAAGTTTAGATTAGGGTACATTTTATGAAAAACGTTAATAGATTTGTAGGAAATGTAAATACGGGTTTGCGTTTTTTCTTTTCAGAATCATTCAGTTCGAAAATTACTTCCTATATTTTGTAAGATGAAGCATCTACTGGGAATTTGGGCAACTTCACCATCCAATATGATTCAATGAAAAGTGATTGCTGTTATTTTTGTCGTTCTCAATCAGCCATACTTCGCAGGGAAATTACCCTAAAAGACGTAGATTGACACTGTTAATTAAAGAGCTCATAAATCGTGCGTTATCTTTTTCAGCATTCAAAGCCACGAGCATAGACGTAAATGCTGGCATCTTCTTTCATCCAGCCGGATAGGCTATACATGTATTTGAGCTGTCTTGGGCGGATGCAAATGAGCCATGAATGAGACAGCGCGGAAGAGTTTTAGCTACGACACGCATAAAATCTTACACGTTTCCATGATTGCCATCGTTATGATTGGTTCTATAGTTGGGAACAGCATTATTTGCTTTCTTCTTGTCAGATTCAAGACTTTGCGAACAGTTCCCAATATCCTTATTGTAAACTTGGCCTTCATTGATATTTTAAACGCAGTGACCAACATGCCACTGATGATCATGTGGTACATATATCAAGTTCCGTATTTGAAAGGACGTGAAATCTCCTGGTTCATAGTGACATGGTACGTGCTTTTCATGTACCTCACCGTATTTAATCTGACGGTGCTTACAATGGACCGCTTCGGAGCCATTGTCCACGGAATTCATTATCACTCGTGGAAGACAATCAACAAGGCGAAAGCAGCAGTGTTTTTTGTGTGGATTTCTTCCGCTGCCTATACGTATGGAATGTTCACTTTGGGACTGGACATCGACCTTGGTGACGCCCCAGTGCTTCTGTACAGAATACATTATTTGAAGAAATTTGGAAGGCATTTTATCATTCCAGGGTATGTTGTACCTTTCACGATCATGGTAGTTATGGGAGTGACGATTTGGCGAACCGTGCATAACCATAGCAGACGCATTTCGGCGTACTCTTCTACGGGAAAACAGACCAAAAATGACGTGAAGACAGCAAAGACGATCGGCTTGACTGTAGTTGCTTTTTTCTGCATGGGTGTATTACCGATGTTGCTACACAACATATCTAAAGTTCACGGTTCATGGCCTCATTTCCTCGCTTTCTTTCTCAATCATCTAAACAGTATGGCAAATCCGATCATTTACTCTCTGAAGACACCTCGGTAAATATTCATGTTGTGATTATTCTTGTTTCCATTTCATTTGCAATACAAAAAAAAAAAAAGTAACAGCACTTTGACATTGTCTTTGTCTCTTGATCTTTCATTTTACCATAACAATAGGATGTTGTTTCTTTTTATCGTTGGTGGCCATATCAAATATAAATTTAGTAGAGGCTTGAATGACTGAATCTACAAATCAAGTTTGTTTCACCGCATATTTTTTTAGAACTTTCTGCTAAATCCAGGCAAGAAGTAAACACGTCCTTTTTTCCACAGGTTTCGTAAGGCGTTTATTCTGTTCTTGAAGGAACCTTTGGGCAAGTCCCAGCCACTGATGGCTTCCAAGAATCGGATGGATCTCAATTCCACAACGAGGAATTTATCTTCGAAAGTGGATATGTTTCACACCCAGATCTCATCTGTTTAAATCTTGATGATAAATTCTCTTTGCGTATCACTTTTGTTCCATTGCACAGCAGTAATAGTTTGAAAAGGTCAACTCGACGTTTATTGAATATGTAACAAGAATTGGGTTGAGATTGTTATTAGGATACAGTTCACCAGCGTGGACATTGGAAAAACCCATATTTGACGAAATTCATCGTTTACATTTATTTTTGATCCATAATCTAAAGATTTCCCTAAGGTTACCTAAGCCATGAAAAGCAAAGTAACATTTATCTTTTACACAGAGTTCCTACAAACTCTCTCCACAACGAGGAATTTATCTTCGAAAGTGGATATGTTTCACACGCAGATCTCATCTGTTAAAATCTTGATGATAAATTCTCTTTGCGTAGTTTAAAATCGTCAACTCGACGTCTACTGAATATGTACGTTCAAAGTCGCCTAGCGAAGTTTATTTCTTTTGTGGTTTTACTTCATATGCACAGATACTAATCTTCACAAGTTGTCTCCCCGGCCTGCGGGAAGACAACTTTAGTTGTGAAGATCGAGTGAAACTCTTTCCTTGTTTACGGGTTTTACTTAAGATGCACAGACGTAAAGGATAAACAGGATTGTTTAACGAGTTCATGTCGTGAGTTGCTGGGCATCTTGAAAGTCTTGGTGAATGCTGTAGTCATGGTTGGATCTATAGTAGGAAAAGGAATAACATGCCTCCTACTTATCAGATTCAGAACTTTAAGAACAGTTCCCAACATCCTCATCCTCATATATATGAAGTATATATTTATTTCTCTTTTACACAGAATTTCCACGAGGGCGTATAAGTTGAGGTTATGAAATATTTCCTTGAAATAGCATCTTTTTCCTTCTGCTATCGTTATTAATATTAATTCCCGCTGGTGGCAATTTTCATTTTCAGGCTTTATTTACACATGCCTAGAATAATCAATAACTGTCTTCCGCTGTCAATCTCTCAAAAAAATCTAGTAACTTCTTTGCCTTTCATCCTGCACTTCGTATCACTTGAAGATTTCAAAACATGAAGCTGTCCGTGAACCACGCAGATGTCCTTACGTTTTGAAATCTATCCATTGAAGAAAAATAAAGCCACTTCTAAAAGAAAATTAAAACTGTGTAACCGCTCTGTCATTAAGTTTCTTCCTCTAGAGTAAAAATTCACATGATCATATAATTTGAGGTGGAAGACCTTGTACAAGAACATTTGTACTGGACATGTTAAGGTTGCAGCTGTCTAGTGTTTCGTTCAAGTGTAGGAATAAAGTTGAAATATGAAGTAAGTAAAGTAATTTTTTTTACATCTTAAATTTTCTCAGCGTTAACTAGCAATATGTTTTCAGACATGATTAGGGGATGTTACAATAGAGAACTTAAGCAGAGAAATACTCTAGACGCAAATGGCATGACGCAAATTGACAAAGGCCGCTTTGACAAAGCCACCTTGACGCAAATGAATCGACCGTCCGATGTGACTCTAACATTCTAAACCAAATTGTGCTAATCATAGTTAGCATCAGGAGTGAGTAGTTTTAACTTTCTATTGACGTCCGCCTAATATGACGTTGTTTTCAACTTTACCCGAGGTCAACTTCTCAATGTTATCTTTACCATCCCGAATTTTCGATTGCGCCGCACAAGGAACGCTAAAGAGCAGGAATTCAGAATAATGTAACGGCAAGGTAAATATATATATTGTATTCACTGAAAAATATTTTACAGAAAGAAGTCCTTATTATTTTTCCTTATTTAATACGTTTCTTTGAAGAAAGAACGAGAGCAGTTGAGACTGTGGTATGTTGTGCACAAAACACCTGCAGTGAAAAATAATTCCATGTAAGCCAAGAAGTAAAAAATTAACATTTAAAGTGCATTTTTTAAAACAGTTTTTCCTTTGTTTAGTCACAAACTTTTTTATAAGAGAACTGTTCTATGAGTTGTTTCGCTCTTTGGGAATTCGAGATAAGTTGGAAGCAAAAACCCAACCTAATGAGAACCTTTGAAAAGCGACGGGGTTGGATGTTTGACAGAAATACACCTAATAAGAAGTCTTTCAAGGGCCTACCGTACATGAATTATTCATCATATAAGAAACTCATCATGTAAGAAATTCGAAGAAAAAACCAGAAGGCCCTTTGACAAAGTAATTTCACAAATGAATTCAGGATACGTAAATTATTGGTTCAAAGGGAAACGAATCCAAATGAATTTTCAATGCGAACAGCCTACCTCTGGAGCCATATCAGGTAATTTTAGTTCAATTATAGTCGGATATCTCATCGAGAATGAAGTGTTTAATTCTTTTTGGCAAGAAAGAAAAATTTTCCTGCCCTTCAAGACATTTACATCTAATGTACTAAATGTATTTTTTACAAGCCGATATTAGGAAGAAAAAAAAAGCAGAAACAAACTAAGCAAGGAAACGAAAAAGGTGATCGACCACATTTGGCTCTCAAGGACTTTTATGAACTGTATATTGACTTAGGTCATTAAGTGGAAGAAGAAATTCGTCAGCCATTCTCAACAAGTTCAAGTCTAGTCATGGCACATCACTGAAGGAATTAAGAGGAAAAATTCAGCACGTTCGCGTAAAATTGGATATATGATGATACATAGAGAATAATACATAATACACAGGCGCGCGTAGATATGGAATTTCTCTTCGAGCGTTTAACTCGATAGTTCATGAGTAAGCACCGCGAACGAGTGAGATGTCGGGTTGAACACGAGAAGAGAAATTCCATATCTACAAGCAACCATGTACTATTTTGTTTATCATATAAACACAATAGCCCTCTACCGACAAAGAAAGCCGACCTCATTGATGAATGAAAGTAATTGAATCGACAATCCCCGAAAAACAATCGTAAAGTGCATTGGTGGTATCTCTTAAGATGGAAAAATGCGTTGAATTGTGATTCAAAAACATGTCTGCGTTGAATCATGATTACAAAAACATGTATTATTGTGTCTATCATAGAAACACAATACCCCTTTATTGAGAAGAAAAGCTGACTTCGTTAATGAATGAAAATAAATTAATCGACAATCTCCGAATAACAATCGTAGAGTGCGTTTGCGCTAAATCTCAAGATGGAAAAATGCGTTGAATCGTGATTACAAAAACAACAATGGTCGTAATTCTCGATTCACAAAATTATTATTTATTGACTTTGTCCATAAGAAGTCTTTCAGGTAAACGGCCAAAATCGGTCAGTGGCAAATCTTTCAGTTGTCGATTTTCATTGGCTAGAAATGCCAACACCAAAGCCACTGAATAGGTAACTTTCGGTTTTTATTTTCCTATCTTGGTTTTCTTCACCTTCTAGGAGAGTTTGAACCTCACTGTCTATCAGCGATTAGGATTTTTTGGTGTTTTAGCCGCCATAATCCAAGAGAGTTCAGACAAACTACCTTGTATTGAGAATCGTAAAGGCTTTGCTGTTCATTCATCAACCGAGTGGCACCAAAGGCGAGTGACGTTTCAGCAGCTGATAGCTATCTCGACACACGTGAAAAAATACGTTTTGTATAACACCGCAGTTTATGTGATAAATTTCTTTTTTTGAGGAGAATTTCTCTGTTTCGTCATGTTGTAAGCATGTTGTTCAAAACAAAGAGATGCACTATTCTGACAGTTACAGTTCAGCGAGATTGCTTTAGCGGGACTTCAGTACTCCATAATTTAGTTCTAGAAGGCGGGTCAGAATACATTTACCTGTTATACTTTTACAAGCAAACAATTAAAACCGTCTAGTCATAAATACAATTGTTGTTAGGTCGTTAGCAAGATTAAAATTTTACCGAAGCTGCGGCGAAAGTAAATTTAATTTCTACACCTGATGATCATGCCTAACAGAGCTACCGTATTATTAATTTTATTATTAAAAAAATGGATATTCTGTAAACAAGTAGTTGGGAAAAGAAACTGGAATGTTACTTTGTGTATTAAACGTAATAGCTTCTGCGTTATATTAGGGACCTTAAGCATCGACAACGAAATGCACGACGACGAGGAGGATTGGGTCGAGGGTTTCGTTCTCGGCGGGAAAAACGAAAGTTAAGCAGTGTGTTGTTTTGAGGCAACGACCTCTATGCATCGAAAAACCTCGACTTTCCGTACGATTCGTACGCACCTTTTGACCTGAAAGAGCTTGATGAGTCTGAGAGTTTCGCAGAGTTTCGTTTTGGAAAACTAGATATTCGAATTCTGAAGGAAGTTTTGGAAATCCCAAACACGATTACCTGCAGTCAGCGCTCTGTTTGTGAGGAGAAGGTCTTTACATGCTGCTAAAGCGGCTTTCATACCCATGCAGATATAGAGACATGATCCATAGGTTCGCTAAACCTGTTCCAGTTCTTAGCATGATCACCAATCAAACGATTGACTATGTGTATAATGTTCATGGGAACAGAGTACTAAACTGGAATCATGAGGTCCTCAGCCCTGTCAACCTGCAGACTTAAGTTGATGCTCTGACAGCCAGGGGAGCCCCACTGCCCAATTGTTTTGGATTTATTGACGGTACCGTTAGGCCTATATCAAGACCTGGAGAACATCAGCGACTTCTTTACGATGGCCATAAAAGGGTTCATGCCCTGAAATTTCAAAGCATTGCTTTGCCAAATGGCTTGATCGGAAATCTATGTGGCCCAGTACAGTACAGTACACAGTACAGGCCACCAGCTTTAAAGCAGGGATGTGACCAGCTTTTTAAGCGATGGCAGACCTTATAAATGCATGACACCAAATGTTAATTTTTGTAGGCCTTGTACGTAGTTAAAAAAGGGGAAAAGATTCGGAAAAAAACTGAAATATTTTACAAGGCTATAGGACAGCTATGCACTTGCCTGGGGTGGCAAGAGATACAGAAAATCTTACATTTCTTTTGAACTGGTTCTTGCTCAGCTGTATAAATGTGGCCGGCCATGGTTTCGGATGCTTCTGAAAGAAAAGTCATTTTAGTTTGTTAAAAATCGCTAAACTGTTGAACATTTGACTTCCGCTGGTCCGCAAACAATACATCTAACAATCATTACATCAAAAGGTGGAAATGGATGATTATCAGCATGTAAAAGTTTAGTTGTTTACTTACGTTTTC